TAAAATATAACAAATATTGCTTGTACATATATATTTACATATTGTAAAGATACAGTAAAGAGATTCAAGATATACAGGGTGATTCACCAGCTCTTGCAACTTAAATGGCTTCGAAAGTATGACAGCAGCAGTAAAGTTGATAAAGAAAAAAGTTGCATGACAAATTCAGGACTATAATATGACATTAGTATTTTTTTGTTAGGTTGAACCATTTTCGAGATTTATTGGTCAGCTTTGTTTTTTTAAATACAATGTTATATTTGAATACTTATTTTTGGATAGCGGCTGTAAAGACAAATCCAATGATATGCAACATTATTATTTTTGAAGATCAACGAAGATCAATACTGATGAACAAACCGGCCACAATACAGCTCTTCATTGTCATGGTCGCGTCATGATCGCGTCAGGGTTGTATCAGGGCTGCGTCATTCTTTCATTGTTCCGACAACGGAAGGAACAGATATTTTCTGAATAGTTTTTATTGGCCATTGTCAGGTTTTGTATTTAATGTTGCACATCATTGTATTTGTCTTGTCAGCCGTTATCCGAAAATAAGTATTTAAATATAACATTGTATTTAAAAAAACACAGTTGACTAATAAATCTCAAAAATGACTGAACCTAGCAAAAAAATACAAATGTCATATATTTTAGTCCTGAATTTTGCATGCAACATTGTTCTGATTAAGTTTTCTGATATCATCATAGTTTGGGAGCTATTTTGGTTGCAATAGTTGGTGAATCACCCTGTATAACGAAAGTTTTCCCATATGAATATAATTTGCCTGAAGTCACTTGTTAGAAAATAAAAAAAAAAAAAAGATAAAAAAACATAAGATGAATATAAAAAGAAAAATTGTCATTTGTCGTCGAATATCATATCGTTTCGTTTCTCTATAAATATTCAATCGCATATAATCATTAATAATTCATTTTTATATATTTTATTATTATAATAATAATAATAATAATAATAATAATAATAATAATTATTATATAATAATAATAATTATTATTATTATTATTATTATTATTATTATAATTATATTATTATATAATTCATTTTTATATTTTATATTATATATATATATATATATATATATGTATATCATTCATAAAGTTTTACATTTTTATTTTTTTCGTGAAAAAAAAAAAAAAAAAAAAAAAATAAAAGCAATTTTGATGTTTGATCTCGTATCAGTCCAGGTGAACATTTATCGAGAAACGAAGAAATCGCTTTGTCATACATGAATTCATAAATAATATTTATTTACAATATAATATGTATTATTTATATATATGTAATATATAATAGTATATATATATATATATATATATATATATCGGGTGCAAGTTGCACGAAATAGAAGCACGTGTCGTCGCTCATCGGCGACGTTTCTCAAAACACTTAAATGACTCACCGGAAGTCACTGGACGGATAGCGTTTTCGTCATCATCTAAACGTAATGAAATAGTAGCAAATTTGAGAATTGACAATTTTATAAAAGTGCCTCTCCTGTGTATGTGTGTGTGTGTGTGTATCTGTATGTTTGTGTTGTATGTATGTATCATAATATGTTATTACGTGTATGTTTTTGTTTTTGTATTCGTGTTTTATGTAACCTTGTGTTTATGTATGTATGTATATGTGTGTTGTATTGTGTGTTGTGTGTGTGTAGCTTGCGTAAACATTAACGAACTTTTATCGTTTCGCGTTGAATAAATAATTTTTCTTTTAGGGATAAATGCAGTAAAAAACACGTCAATACACTCGAAACACGTCGAATACGATTATTGGATATTATATATAATAAATAATGGAAAAAAAAAATACGAAGAATATATTAAAAGTATATAATAAAAAAAAATTATCTATATATATGTATATATATATATATATATATATTACTTACTTTCACCAGATTCCTTAATGCGAAGTTTCAAAGTATCCCTCGCTGATGTTAGGGTGATGGTGTCATTGTAATTCATTTCTTTCAATTTAGCCATCGTGTATACTTGATCGGCAACTACGAGATGTCTTTCTAAGATTTGTTTGGTCTGAAATTAATAACAAAAACAAAATAAAATAAAGAAAATATATATTGGGTCGTAACAAAAGTTTCTTCTTTTTTAATAATTCTACGGACACAATATTTTTTATGTTGAATGATTTAAAATATAGAAAAAGGTAAAATAGAATAGAATTGATATTATTTAGTAAAAAAAAAAAAAAAAAAATAAAGTAAAATATACAAATAAAAAAAATATATTACGCATACAATGTTGTTCAACTTATCACCAAAATAAAAAGAAAGAAATTTTCGGGACTATCGAATATTATATATGTTGCGTTAAAGTTAAAAAAATAAAAAAAAATAAAACACTTATAGAATATATATTATATAATTATTAGATTATATTAAATATAGAATATATTTATAATATATATATAAATATAATTTATAATATATATAAATATGAAATATAGAATATACAAATATAAAAATTAGAATATAATAAAACACTTATATAGAATATATATTATATAATTATTAGAATATATTTATAATATATATAAATATAGAATATAAAATATATAAATATAAAAATTAGAATATAATAAAACACTTAGAGAATATATATTATATAATTATTAGAATATATATTAATATAACAAATAAAACACTTATAGAAAATATATTATATATATGTTACGGTTAAAAAAATAAAAATAAAACAAAGAAAAAAAATAAGTTAAAAATGAAACAAAGTTAAAAAAAATTAACTTAGAGAAATTCTTAACCATGAATTTTTGTTATTGTTTGATAAAAGTATACTCACGTGATAGCTGTAATCTGGCATAAAAAGTTTCTTAATGGTAGATGGATAACTGATGTTAGCACCGGACCAGGCATAATCTCTTGGTGCGAAATAAGTGAAACGTTTAGTAGTGTCGTTAAGTTGATCGTTAAAACCACGTCGTTGACCAAGGAAATAAGTGGAACTGAAAGTTATTACAAGTTTATTGATTCCGAGTAAATCAATCATATTTTCTTCTTTTCTTTTTTTTTTTTTTGTTTATAGCAATGAACGAGTAACAACAATCTATTTTCTTTTTTTTTTTTTTTTTTTAATCATTTACACGTACATTTAATTATAGAAATATTGAATAAATTAATAATTAATCTTACTTCAACATAGGATCCGTTTGTAGTTTTTCCAAAACAGTTGTATAAGGTACACCAAGAACCCTATCAATGATATGAATAATTCCATTGGTCGCAGCGATATTTGCCGTTACAACGGTAGCATTTACACCACCACCTTCAACTGTAATGGTTTGATTTCCTGCTGGTCCTTGTACGACGTTGAAATAAAGCTTTTTCCTATCGGCAGCGGTAGGTATCTACGGAAAAATGAACAATAAATTTATAACATATTTTATTTTATTCGTCTCGAAAGAGAAACCTCGTTGAAAAAGGATTCCCATTTCAAGATTAAATTTCATGACAATGAAACACTTGAAGAAGAAATTTAATAAAAGGGTAAAAAATATAATAATCAGAGTTAGTAGGGGGGGGGGGGAAACAACAAAATAATTAAGTGTGAGATTTCTTTTTGGGGGTAAATTTTTTACTTTTAACGCGTGCAGATAAAAATGAAAAGAAAAATTTCTGTGAAATTCTTTGAGAGCAAATATTTATGAATCTGATATACAAATAAAAAAAAAACCAATTATTTTTGTAAGAAATATTTATTTTCATAATTTTTCATTTTAATCTTATATATATTTTTATAACTTTTATTTTATATTATAAATTAGTAAAATATTTATATTATAAAATAATAAAATATTTGCATTATAAAATATTATAATATTTGTATTATAAATTAATAAAATATTTGTATTATAAAATAATAAAATATTTTTACTAAAAAATAATAAAATATTTTATATTAAATATATATATGTAGAAACTCTAACGCAAGTCGGATGCAAACAACATTTTTTTGGTAAACCCTTTATATAGAAATATATTTGAAAATTATTAAAAAATATGATAACAAATCACATTATTACAATTTTCATTGATTAAATAAAATTTTAATGAATTAAAATATAACCTGTATATCAGAGTTATAGTATTCGCTCACATAAAATTTCAATATGTCGTGCAGTATAGCGTTGTGAATATTATATAATATTGTATATAAAATAAATATAATATCTATATATATATATATATATCGTTAATTATTTAAAGATTTGAACAATGACGCGCGTTTTAATTATGATTAATTAATTAAAATAAAAATAAAAACAAATTAATAAAAAAAATTAAAAATATTGTTATCATTCCAAATGTTCATGCTGATAAGGTATTAGAGAACAATTTATAATAAGATATAATATCATGCACAAAATGTTGCATGAAGATGAACGGTGTTATAATATAGTGTAACTACCGATAAAATGCAGGATTATCTTTTAATCGTTTGAGTGCTTTCGTGCAACGCGATTCACGGATTATATTTATATTTTATGGTGAAAATATATTCTCTCTAGTGTGTATCAAGGGATACAAAATACACAATTGATGGGTATAACGTTAGGATTCTATTATAAACGATAATAGAAAAAAAAGTTTTAATAATTGTTTGTGATTTCTTAAAAGTATTTTAATTTTCATAATAAATAGTAAATATTAGAATACGTCAAAGTGTGTTATCTAATTAATTAAATAAAGCTGTAAAATGTTGTCTTGATAGAAAACACCACGCTATTTTAAAATGTTGAATTTGAAATATTTTATTACAATATAATAATATATTATATATATATTATATAAATAATTATTATATTAATTATTATATATTAATTAATATTTTAAATAAATTATTATATAATAATTAATAATTTTATATTATACTTTATATTGTATTATTTATTAAATATTTATAAAATTATAATTTTATTATTTTATTTTTCTATTTTTATTTAATTACAATTTTATAAATATAAAATTATTAGTTATTATATAATAATTAGTTTAAAATAATAATTATAATACAATAATTAATAGAATAATTAATATAATTGTTATTGGAAATATTTCAAATTCTTTAATGAGTTTTAACACTCAAACGGTTAAATTATTTTTATAACGTCAATATATCCATGGTTAAAAGTTTTGTTAAATTATTAAAAAAAGAAATGCAATATTAACGTCCATTTGCCATCCTTATCTAAATATCGCAAGGCAAAGATTAATAATAAATGAATGCAAGAAATATCATTCTCGTTAATTTAATTAGAAACATTGACAGCTGTATGAACGTTTTAATTACCCCAGCGTGTGCCTTTCCCATCGATGGTATTGGAACATTAAAGGGACAAAGAAAAAAGAAAAAAGACAGATAAGAGACAAGACAAAATTAAAACTCGCTAAACGAATACTTGGTGGTGGACGTGAGTATATCTGTATTTTGTATTTTTTTTTTTTATCTTGCATATTTATTTTTTATTTTTAAGAAGAAAAATGAAATTTGTGATGGTAAGTAAAAAAAAAAAAAAAAGAAAAAAATAATGCAAAAAACGAAGCAAGGTAAAACTACATTATTTTTTATTAATTTATTGTATTCTTATAAAAAATTCGAAAGTTTAGTTCAGACAAAAAAAAAAAAAAGAAGAAAATAGAACGAGAAGTAATTCGAACTTTTTAATTTTTTTTTTTTTTATTTGAAACTGCTGGATGTTTATGCACAAAAATGCATAATTTTTTAATCAAAATTTGAACCATAATAATTTGCATGTCGTATATAGGAATTTAATGACAAATTTGTTTAATTTGTTTTAGTTTTTAAAAAAGGAGTTTGCTAATATATCCAAATTACCTAATTAACATCTCACCTATGTTTTTACATATTATTATTATATATTTCTGCATACGTTCATATCATCATTTTCATATTTTACAAATATGTAATTTGAATATTTCAACATATTTGAAATGCATAAACATCCTGTACAATTGAAACGAATAATTTAATTTTTTTTTTTTTTTTTTTTTTATAAATGAAAACACAAAATAAATATTATAAATATTATAAATATTATAAAAAGGCTCACCTGAATGACACTTTTGTTTTGTATTTTTTCCAATGGTAGTCTTTGTTTGACGTAATGCAAATTAAGGATTTCCTTGACGCGTCTTTTGTCCTGTAATATTTGTCGTACACCTGGTTCTTCTAGGGCAGCATTGCTAGGTGCAAAAAGTGTTACATCGTGGAGCCTGCTTATGGTCATCATAATGTCGTCACCAAAATCACGAATCGTCTCGTAAAATTTGTATACAGGACCATCCTCCTTTTCCTATATGTTTGATAAAAAAAAAAAGGGGAAAAAAACAGAACATTTTGTTTATATCAATAGTAAATGATAACAATTCGCCTTTCATATTTCTTTTTTTTTATATTTTTTTTATTTAATTTTCTACGAAGGGATTTTTTTTATTTTTTTTTGATGATCGAGACGATCCAATTAAAAAAAAAATAAATGAAGACGTAATCTCATTTATGATTAAAAAAAAAAAAAAAAAAATGAAATAAATGAAGAAAGAAATAAATAACGAAGATGACATAGATAGAAAGATATTGAGATAATTGGTTGGTTTTATTTTAAGTGGACACAAAAATGAGGAAATGTTAAAAGGAGAATAATTGGAAAATTAAATTAACAGCAAGTAGAGATAAAATAAAAAAGAAAAATAAAATTAATGAATAAATAAAAAAGGGATTGAGTAAAATAAAATTGTTTTTCGCTTTTATCGAGTACAAAATTAAATTAATTAGGATTGGAAGAAAGATATCTGACAAGTAAATGAAAAAAAAACAAGACAAAAAAAGATAATTCAAATGTAAAAATGAACTTTTATCAGATCTGTACTTTCTTGAAAGTACAAATTCACATAATATTTGCACGTATTTAAAAGATAAAATATAAATACGAGTACAATATCCGTTCTAGATATGTAAATATAAATATAAATATTCCTTATTATAAAAACACCGATATTAAAAATATAAATTAATTAAGAAGAAGGGGGTGTGAAGTGGGGGAGAAAGGATTTCAATTGGAAGTGAGACACCGAGATATTTAACGTTATCTTCCAATGATTTTTCTTTTTCTCCACAACGGTGATAATTAATTTTTTATCTTCTTTTTTTCTGTTTTTGTTTGTTTTCTTTCTTACGATATGATATGCAAAAATATTTATTAAACAAATGAATTATTTTTTTGATCATTGACGATGTTGAGACAGATAACGAGCACGGATTTTACGAAGCCAGAGATTTGTTTTTTATTTTCTATGTGAATATTTGTATAATAACTTATAGGTAAATCTATTAGAAAATATGACCGAAGTGAGAATGCACCACCATGACTCGAATATAGAATCGAAAAGTTTTTCTCGCTTGATCGTACAATCGAATTAGAAAACTTCTAAAACCCGGAGTTTAATGAAGCGAAAATGGTGAGGGTTGACTTGTTATGTTGGTTGTTATTTCTTTTCTTCTTCTATTTCTTTTTCTTTTTAACTCTCGGTGGCTCTCATCAGATATAGAAAAATAAAGAGAAAAAAAAATAACGCGAGAGAAAGAGAGAGAGAGAGAGAGAATGAAGTATAATATAATATATTAAAGTAACAGTATTTTATAGTATATTATTAATTATATTAATATTATTATTATATATTAATTATACTATAATATATAAATATATATAAATATACTATAATATTAAATATAATAATTACACTATAGTATAATACAATATATTAAAGTAACTTATATATAGTATATTAATATAATTACTTATTATACTATAGAATATTATATTATAGTATAGTATATAATATCTATTTTAAATAATTATTATACTATAATATGTAAATATATAAATACTATAATATCTAATATATTAATTACACTATAGTATAAAACAATATATTAAAGTAACTTATATACAGTATATTAATATAATTACTCATTATACTATAGCATATTATATTATAGTATAGTATAATATCTATTATCATATAGGTATATATATATAAATACTATAATATTAAATATATTAAATAATGTTATTTTTATACGAAAAATATAAGTTATTATACTATAATAATTTTTATTAAATAAAGTAAATGTAATCTTCTCTCTTTCTGTTTCTTTTTTTTTCTCCTTCATTCTTTCTCTCTTTTCTCTCTTTCTCTTTATTGTTCTTTTTCCAACTAAAAAAATTGTATTTGCCAGAGAAAGTTGGTTTCTTGAATAGGGGGATATAAAAAACGGGACATAAACGCAATAAAAATCGAACGATTGACGATTTATCGATTTTCAAACGAAAAATGTTAAAAATATTTTTAAAAAGGAATATGAAAAATGATGAATAATATGCTCGTTTCCTACTACATTTAAATTAGGGTAGGATTTTTCTATCAAGTAAGAAAATCAATAATAATAATAACAATAATAATAACAATAATAATAATAATAATAATGCCTACTTTTCAATTTGTATGAAAAAAGGGGATACAAAATTGACTTAATAGTTTCGTTAATTTACTTGATTGGACAGAAGAAATGGTAGAAAAAAATGTTAAAAATATAAGCTGGGTGGTTGGTTGTTAGGGGTTGGGGTTAGGGGTGGGATGAACAAATTATGAAGACGATGGGGGGGGGGCGGCGGGAAAGTTCTAACGAAATATTGAATGGGTATTAATGAATATTACGAACGAGACTGGTTGGATTTTCGTTCCGCTGTATTTCAAAGATTTGTAACTCAATTTTTTTTCTTTTTTATATATATAGAACTCTCTTTTTTTTTTCTTTTTCATTTAATCTATTTCAAGTTTTGTAATTCAGTCCTTTTTATTTATAATTTTTCTATGAATATCTTTTTTAACATTTTTTACAAAACGTGAACTTTTTTTCTTTCTTTTTATATATTGCAAGATTTGTAATTCAATTTCTTTTATTTTTATAATTTTCTTCAATATTTTTTTATAAATCGAGTTATTTTATTTTTTTTTTTTTTAAATTTTATATATTGCAAGATTTTCTAAATCTGATTTTTCCTTTATTTATAATTTTTAAAAATATCTTCTTAAAGATTTTTACATAAATCTGGGTAGTACCTCTTTTGTTCTCTGGGGGTTTGTTTTTTCATTTTTTATTTTATTTTTTATTAATTTCCTTTTCCCATTTCAACGTTTAAAACGGAAATACGTCGGAACGAGATTCCTAGTGCCGTTATATTTTTTTTTATTTATTTTTTTTTTTTTTTATACAAACTCGTTTTTTGGACTTGATCGCGGTACCTACGATCGTAAAAAACTTCGTGTATGTTAGTAAGAGATACGATTTTAAGTACAGTTGATTTTAAGACCATTCGTTTTTGTCGTTTTATTTCTTATTTCTCATGTTTGTAGAATAGTTTTATGATAAGAAATAAAAGAAAAAAAAAACGATTTAAATCTAAAGAGAAAATTTTAAAATTTATTTGTGTGAGTTTAAAACGCATACGTATTTTTTGCCAACACGTAACACAATTAAAGTTTCGAAACCAAAGCCAAGTTTATATGGCAATAAATAAATATTCTAAATAAATAAATAAATAAATAAATAAATATATTTTATTATTAAAATTAATTTATTTAATTCTAGTATAAAAATAGAAAAAGAAGAATAAAGGAAAAGACTTAATAACCCTTTGAGTGTTAATTACTATTAACTAAAATGTTTTATAGGAATAGTATAATTTATTATTAATCATATTCTAATAATAAATTATATTTAATAATTACAGTTTTTCTTTCTGTAAATATAATATAATTTAATTAATATAAACATTACATTATTTTACATAAATATTATCAAACACATATATGCGTCCATAGTACTCTAACGGTTAAAAGTTTTTCAACTTAGTGATAAACATAAGAAGAATCATAAAATAACAAATTTTATTTTCAATATAACAATTTTTTTATAAATTATTTTTTCGACTGTATTTAAAATCGTTGTTCTCTTATCGACAAAAATTGGATGGAAAATAACATAAATAAAAAAGGATCTCTCATCTAAATACGATATATATATGTATATATACATATACTTTTATATGTATAAATATATATGTAATATACGTGATCGATCATAAATAAAAAAAAAAAAAATAAAAATATATATATATATATCGGCTCTCAGACTTCCATTTGCCATAAACGACATGGCTAAAAGTATGAGCTTGAATGTGTCGTGTGTTTTTTTTTGCGAAGTCTCTGAGATGAGTTCATTTAATAAGTACTTACGATGCCCTATACGACATGCAGAGTCCAATAGAGACATGCAAAGCACCACAGAATAACATCATTGAGTCAATATAAAAATAGTAAACACATTTACACAATTAATAATAATAATAATAATAATAATAATAATAATAATAATAATAATAATAATAACAATAAAAATAACAATAAAAATAAAAATAAGAAAAATAATCATAAATAATAATAATAATAATAATAATAATAAAAATTGAGAGAAATTTCTCTCTGTTTCTCTTTCTCTCTCTCTCTCTCTCTCTTTCTCTCTTTCTCTCTTTCTCTATCTATTTATCTATTTTTCTCTCTTATATTTTTGAGAGAAAGGAATAATAAAAATAATCTGTTTTTATAAGAAAATTGTTATTAACACGTTGCTGCACACTTTTAATTTGATGATCGTGCTCAGAAACACAAATATTGGACGGCTATAATCGTCCATTTGCGGTTTTTTATAAAATTTTCATAAAAATTTAATATTATTATTATTTTTATTGATAGTACGGTGGTTTTGATATTAGTTTATTAGTTTTTCATTTTATTTTAATAAGAAAACTGTAGGAATATTTATTGCTAGTATATTTCTGCAAAATTTGTTCGTTTTTCTTGTCAATTTGATAATTTATTCAAAAAAATAATTACTTTTTTGTTTCAATACATCTATTGTAGAAAATTTCAAGTGTACGTATAAATTCATCGTATAAAAAAAAAAAAATTATTTAATAAATTACAATTTCACAAGGTTTTATTTCAAATTGATCGGTGTACGAATACTTTCTACACCCACTGTATATGTAATTAGAAAACGAGCACACATATACGCTTTACAAGAAAAACGAGCGTTAACAGCTGTTACAATATTATCATTAGTAATGGCAAGAATACTCTAGAGCCTTATATTTCGCGTTACCGAAAATCCCATTAACCGGTGTGTACCAGGTAAATTAGTTAATTGTGATCTACGGGCCCTTTAGGATCCCTCTCCACATTGAGAAAAGGTCTTGGAATACCCAAGATCACGTCTACGGAAATTACCTATATGTAATTTAACACCGGTGCACACAGTAACGAAGAATATCTTCAAAAAAAATCGGATTGGTTTTCGATTACAGATTGTTTACCGTTCATTATTACAAATTATGTTTATTCCGAAAAAAAAAAAATAAAGAATTTAACGAGTTGAGACGTTAATTGAACGATTAAATAAAATAAATTGATCATCAGAAAAATGAATTAAATTTGATAATAAAAAGTACGTAAAGATAAAAGTAAAACGTTTTATAGTTTGATTATAAAATAATTTATTGATTGTTTGTTACGATTTCATTTTTATTTTATTTATTCCTGAAATGTACTATAGTTTAACGTTTTTCAAATCAGTTTTGTATAAAATAGTCGAAGTATTTTTTGAGAAGAATTTCGAGGTAATTAATATTTTTAAATAGTATTTTTGGAAAGTAATTATAGTAAAAATATTTTCGACAAATTTACAAATGAAATAGTTTTATAGTTTTGGTATGAAATATATATAATAGTTTATTACTATTATTATTTATATTTTATAATATATTATATTATTTATTTTATACTATATAAAATATTATAATATTTATATTATAAAATTAATAATAAATAATAATACAATTAATTACTATTAATAGAAATACTTCGCGGTTCAATAATATATTATAGAATTGAAAAACGTTACTATAATTATTATTTTTATTCTAACACTATTTCATTCATTCATTCATTCATTCATCAATCATTTCCATTCTTACTTTCTTTTACACTCAATTTATTTATTCATATATCATTCAAATAAAACAATAAAAAAATAAATAAAGAAATAGAAAAAAGAAATAGAAAAGAAAATAATAATAATAATAATAATAAGTAGAAAATATCCTGGAAAAAATAGGAACAATTCAAAAAAAGGGAATATCCTAGAAAACAAAGCGTAGTCTCGAGCTTCACATCTCTCATTAAAATCGAGATATCGATAGTAGCTGCAGCAATAGCAGCAGATTACATTTAGAACGTGACATTGAATTTCAAACCAATTTCTTGAAGAATAGAAATATATATACATATATATATAAATGTTTTTTCCATTACTATATTATACGCGATTAGGTCAGGTAATTTCCCCATTACCACCACACCATCACCATCAGATCGTGAAGAAAATTCCCGTGTGTGATACTATTCCTTTTACTTTAATACGAGAATTTCAAACAGTGTAATTTCCGGCAGGTGAAAGAGCATATGTGGAAGGACATGGGAGAGAAGGTGGGGTGGTATTCGTGAAAGTCCGATAAACGAATTTTAAAACGAAAAAAGAGAGAGAGAGAGAGAGAGTAAATTATAAAACGAAGATGCAAGGATAGAAAGAAAATTCGAAATCGTTTCGTTAACGTGTTTTATTTTCTTTTTATTTTTTTTTATTTTTTTTTTGCGATCAGCAGTTAGAGATATACTCAATAACGAGATTCCGATAGAATTTACCAGAGATCAACGTTGAAAGTTGTTCCCCACGTTCTCCCACTTTACCCC